TTTTTTTTTACACAATAATAAATTATTTATTGAAATGCTATTTTATTGTTTTTGCCATTGCCCGAAATTGAATATTAAATCTTATTTGACAGCACTCATGTGTGTATGCGTGTGTGTAAGTAATGCAAAGCTACACAGGCTACCAATTATTTATACAATTTAATGTATGAATTTAATCAAACAACTACTTTTTTCAATTTTAATTAACGATACAATAACAAGGAATCAATGTCCTTCCTATTGTTTCTATATTTCTGTCACGTAACCTTAGTCCATAGAATGGTTTTTATGTGTGAATGAAAGGAAATGGCTTTATGAATATAACACTAACACTTTATGGATTAAGGCATCCAAAACCGTATTTTGTACTCGCAATACATATATATCTATATAATTGTTCATATTTCAAATTAATTGAAACAATTATATTTAAGTCTTTTATGCAAATAGTAGAAATGTTTAACCCTTTAAGTGCAGAACAACACTACTAAAATGCACTCTGAGAGAATGAAATTAAAACAGAAGTATAAAGCGTTATGTATGGGCAGTATTTCATATCTAATGCATAAAGCATTAACTGGGTGTAGGACATATTTACTAATATTCGATCATATTCTTTAAACTGGTAATAATATTTATTAATAAACATAAACATTTAATTTATAAATAAAATAATATAACATTGAATAATTTTAATTTAATAATATGTAAACAAAAATATAGCACTTTGATTCAATGTAATATATTGAGTATTGTAATATATTGAATAATATATTGAATTAGTATTCTTCTTTTGTATGATATAATTCAAAGCATTTATCAATACAAAGGCCTACATCGCATTTTTTGCACTCATAACGTGATTCCGATCTTTTCTTGTTCTTTGCACACACAACACATTTTCGTCTTGCACTCTTTGATTTTGCTGTATTGCTAACATATACAGAAAGAAAATGTCTTCCTGTTAATCTAAATATATTGGTTCCGAAATTTTTATTTCCTCTGCCTACTATTACCCTATCCTGTGGGTATTTCCTTAAATTTTCTGTATCACTGTTTTTTTCAATTACACGTTCTTCAGTTATTCGAGCCATATTCACAGGTACAAGAACTACAAATTACAATGTGAAGTCAGATATGTATTTCTAACGGAAATAGAAAATATACTGTAACTATTGCTAAAAAACTAAGAACACAAATGTGTAAATGAGAGATATTGAATACACTGATGTCCGGTAACTTATATAGAACTTTTTACTCTGAGTGCATATACGTGCCTATAGCACTGAAAACAAATTTTTTACTCTGAACGTATATATGCATTCATAAGCCATAATGAGAATTTTATGCTAAGCCCATATATACGCCCACAGCACTCAAAGGGTTAAATAAATAATGTTACACAAATATAAAAAAGATCTTATTATTATCGATATATATGTGCTGAATAACATTATATTGTGTATATATATATATATATATATATATATATATATATATATATATGCATATATATATGCAATATGCGAGTACAAGTTAAACATTCTGTTGCTATACCACTTAATATAGCTATGGCATATATGTATGTTATTATTTAACTTATTAAAATATATTTAGTTAAGCATATGGTAAAATAAGATATAGTTCGTAAAAAAATATCAAATATACTTTCTGATTATCAGAAAAAATATGGTAGAGCAACCACGTTGAAAACAACACATTCTTTTTCATATGAGTCATATTTTATTCTTAGTTAATAATTATTTTGTACTCTACTTATCATACTTTTTGTGAATAATGTCAGAAATTTATCCCTACAATTAAATAAGATACTCTTTGAGTTCATATTTCTTAAAAACAAACACTATATACAAACACTGTGTATATATATATTAAATTTTGTTAAATAATTTATGTTAAATTACTGCTTATATTTATAACAGACACACACACACGCGCGCGCGCGCGCGCACATACACACACGCACACACACACATCAATTATAAGCAGTAATTTAATATAATTAAAATGTTAAAATAAAGATCAACTCTCACATATGACTCACAGAATGTTAATGTGAAAGAAAATCATCCTTTTTAGGGATAATATATGCTCCAAAAATTATAAGTACAATCACTTACCCTGTACTGCTTCCTGTGCTAGCCTTTCTCCGGAAGTACTGGGTTTTGACAATAGATGTCCTAATGAGAAAAAGAATAACATAATTATTACAAAATATAAAAGAAATATAACAATTGTTTTAAATTTAAAAGCAAGAAAGAAGTACTGGAACAAAAGTATTTTTGCATATTAATAAAAGTACTTACCAACATCTGCTGACTGATGTTTACTATCCAAACTATCAGAAACAGATTGACTACTCGTATAAAAAGTTTGAGTAATGTCTGGTTTCTGATCATGATCAGGTGTGTTAGATGGTGTATCTTCTATTCCAATTTTGTTCAATGAACTATCTCCTATACTTTGTTCTTCATAACTGCAACTACTACCATCTTGTTCCAAATATTCAGGCATTTCTAGCTTTAGATTTGGCATCAAAGGAATTATTTCAACAGGATCTGAACCAGGTATTGTTTGATTATCTGATATCTTATTTTCTGAATCTTTTCCAGATAATGCATTGCTGACTGTTTTATCCGCATTCGTATTCGTGTTATCACGACATTTTCGTCTTTTTGTAGGTGGAGTTTCAGTTTGCAGTTCAACTGCATGATATGGCATGGGTGAAGAAGGTGACTTACTTCTTTTGGCATCAATTGTAGATTTTATAGAAGAATTCTGTAATTGTATTTCTGGTTCATTGGGAATTTCTAAATCATCCTGCAATATAATCAGAAATTTAAGTATATGCTCACTTAACCAGATTATTATTACTCTTGTTTAAAAATATACAATAAAAATATATTGCACAACTTTTATAAATTAATCATATTTATACCAACCTCAACTAAACCATCGTTATCCTTCCCTGTACCATCAGTGAGACCTTGAACTGCCAACAACTCTGCTGTTGTTAAGAAGCTAGCAAGTTGTTCTTGAACGACATTAACTTCACCTTGATACATAAAATCAACCAAGGCTGCTAAGTCATCAAATTTTACATTACGGAATATTATAACTGGATGTTGACATGGGTTTTCCTGTTATACAATAGAGAAATTATATAGAAATCGATTATTTATAATGAATAATAAATAAAAGATATAGATAATAAAAAATAAAATTATCATTCCAAAATTACCTTAAAAAGATCTCTGAAATATGTGCTACATGCTGATAAGAGCATTTTGTGTGCTCTGATCCGCTTGCCTTCACAGCTTAATGTAACATCAACGAGATCTTCATCCGTCCTTAACGTATCAAAAGCACATGTAATATGTTTTAAATAATTATTCCATCTAAGAGAAAATTGTTGACTGGAACCCATTCTGTTGTATCTAAAAAGAAAATATTTTATATGAAATTAAAAATTTAGGAAAAATATATTATTTTTAAAATACAAATTACAAAATGTTTAATATTATATATATTCGTCATATATTTTGAAATAACAGAGACTTAAATGTACAAAATGTTATTGACAAATTTATATACATACATATGTGTGTGTGTGTTTGTGTATGTGTGTGTTTGTGTGTGCTTGTCGTGTGCGTGCGTGTGCGCGCGCGCGTGTATGTGTGTATATATATAATCTCAAAATATATATAATCCTACTGATCAATCATTGATTGTCACGAACAACTAAACAACAAAGATACTATATGAATAATAGAATTGTGAATGCATTTTGCATGATCATATTTTTAATTACTCTTACATATACACTCACTCTAACCTGGATTATAATTATTTGTGACGCCTGACGAAAAAAAAAAAATAACAAATTCGTTGTCTGTATATCTTAAATTTATATATATAGATTACACGTACGTATGTATACGTAATAAATCTAATACCATTTGTTTACGATTAGTTCGTAAAAAGGAATAAAAAAAAAGAAAAGGAAGAAAAAAGAAAAAGAACAAAGAAAAATAAAGGTTTCATACATATTCAAAAAATTAATAGAATGTCGTCATTTACGTATCTACGGTTAGCCCTCACCTTGCCCGTAAGAATCCAGCTAGCTTCAATACGAGTGGCGATGTGTAGGACCAAAGATTGGAGTCCTCGATATGTGCGACGTGACGGGAAAACTGTCAGCTGCAGTCACGAACTTCACCCCCCACCCCAAGACAAATAAATATATAAGAATTGCGTATTTTCACGTAAAATGCGCTACTTCCTTTGCATTTCACGAAAAATAAAAACTGTAAACAGTGAGGCAACATAGATTTTCATGGCACTGTAAAGGCATCGTTCTTAGTGCAATGCATAGACACTACTGGCGTCAATCTACTAAACGATTATCGCGTTATATAATTTCATTACGGCTCGATTCAAAATTAATATTTTGTTTCTCTTTCTAACGATTTTTTTATCAACACTTATCAACGAAATGACAGCCGGTGCCCATTTTCCCAACGGAAAACGCGTAAGATGGGCGAAAGAAGCTCCCACTTCCTACAGAAGCCACGCGCGATGTGTGGGGGGTCTCGATAAAACATGACGCTTATAACATTCTCTTATTGGTTCAAAAAACTAGACATCGTTTCAACCAATGAAATTATTCATATTTATATTTTCTCAATTACTTCGTAATATTAAAAAATTTAATAAATATTAGTATTATCTAATTATTTAAATAATAATAATAATAATAATAATAATAATAATAATAATAATAATAATAATAATAATAATAATAATCTTTTTTGAATTCTTGAAAATATCTTTTTTTCGACCAATCATATTTAACTTTTAACTATAAAATTGTTTTGTTTATTTTTGTTTCTTTTATATATATATGCGTGTGTGTGTTTATGTGTATTGTGTTACATCTCATGCAACCACTCTAACTAATCTATTTGGTTTAGGATTGAAGAAGTGTGGCAAATATGCAGAGGGCGTTATTTTTCGACGCAAACATTCATGACCTATCGAGATCCATAAGATCAAAAGTTTTACAGCATTTTTGAATTTTTAATACTGTTACGTATATTATTACGTATATCTTCTCACTGCCTTAGATCATGTCAAAGAGCAAAATTCAACATCAAGTTGACAATGGTATTGTAGCTGTTAAGAGTAAGGTAATTCGATTTTTACATACCTCTGTAATCAACAATGGAGCTGTTAAGAATGTTTTCTAAGAAAATTCAATTAATGTAAAAGTTAGATTTGTAGATTAATTAATTTTTATCGTCAATACATTAACATTATCTTTTTTTTATTATCTTTTGTAGAAATATAGAATATAAATAAAATGTGATTATTTTATATTTAAAGTACGTTATTTAAAGGGATTATCACGTTCCATGTCATTCCAATTTTATATGACTTTTCATTCGTGTTGATTTTTTATTCGATGTTTATATCTATCTTTTATAATACTTATATGTGTCTTGTAACACTTATAAGATAATAAAAATTACCATTATCAATAAGAAAGAATAACAAATAAAATATACTGTAAAATAGGACAAAATACTTTCATATAAGTAATTTAGAAATTTAGAAATACATATAGAATAAAATGAATGGAAAGTCTAATGGGTCATCAATGACTCATATAACATTAAGTATAACATTGAATCTAAAATATGTAGTTTAACAAAATATATAAAAAAAAGAATATATAAATAATATTTATATATTTATCATTTTATCATTTTATAGTTTGATGCTGACATTATAAGATTCTCAGTTCGAAGAAATGAGCCTATCAGTTATGAAGATTTTAGAAAGCTATTAGCAGAACGTCATGATATTGGTCCTGAATTAAACTTTCTTATTTGGTATACGGATCCAACAGATGGAGATTTATTGCCTATTAACAATGACAACAATTTGGCGAGAGCATTACTTGCTGCAAAGCCACTTCTTAGAATATTCATACAAAGGAAAGGTAAATTTCTACATAATAGCATATTTTTCATATCTTTTCTTTAAACTTCCTTCACTTAATAAACTATGAAAATATTTATTAGGTGATGGATTGGAAGATATAAATGGATATGGTACAATGAAACCAAAAAATTTAATTTCAAGTATACTTGGTGGTACTCCTGGCAAACCAAAGTCTTTGGCAATATCAAACCCACATGATTTTCGGCAGGTAAATTATATTAAGTTTTATAAGTTTCTTTTATAAATTTAAAAACCAAGATTATGATTTTAATAAGCATAACATTAGAAAGAAATATATTGTTGTATAAATAATAGGTATCTGCGATCATTGATGTGGATATATTACCTGAAACTTGTCGCCGTGTTCGACTTTTAAAACATGGGTCAGATAAACCATTAGGTTTCTATATTAAAGATGGTGAAAGTTTTCGAATATTGCCACCATCAGCTGGAGGTGGAATTGAAAAAGTACCAGGAGTCTTTATTAGTAGATTAGTACCAGGTGGTTTAGCAGAAAGCACTGGTCTGTTAGCAGTAAATGATGAAGTATTAGAAGTTAATGGAATAGAAGTTGCTGGAAAGACTCTTGATCAGGTTATAATTCTGATATTATTGTATAATATATAAGTATTTTAAAAATATATAATATATATGTATATATATGTACGATATAAATTGTCATGTTAATTAGGTCACTGATATGATGATAGCAAATTCTTCAAACCTCATAATAACAGTTAAACCTGCCAACCAACGAGCCGCTCTTGCAGCACCACGACGTGGTTCCTTTTCACGTAATAGCCAATTATCATCAGGAAGTCATCAATCAACACAAAGTGCAGCTACAGGTAGTGATGAAGATGCAGATGAAATTTTAGATTTAACAGGTGTCACACTTCATGATGAGGCAGCAACATCTGTATCTCAACATCATCATTTTCATCAACATCATCATCATCAAAATCATTTTAATCACGACCAGGGGGTTTTGCATCTGTAGATAAAAGGTAAACTAAAAATTGAATTATATCATTTCAAAAGATTAGCATGCATGATATGAAAGTATTGAGGTACATTACTATCATGAACAGAATTGTATATTTTGTGCTCTCTTAAATCTATGTATTGTTTTATATTATATTATACTATATAATATAAAATATTAATATTACGTAATTCTTTTGCTATTTGTAATGATAGTAACGAAATTTCAATATTTCCTTGATTCTAAATATTCAATATTTGCTTATATGAAAAATTAAAAAAGAAATCACTCGATGATACATATAGTATAAATAAATAATGTCATTGACAATAAAGGCAGCAAAGTAATTATAAAAACAGTTTTTTATAATATTACCATTTTTATTAAAACTGTTTTTATATATCTTGAATAATAATCTATATATAACATACTAAAAAAAATATTGAAAATTAGAAGATAATATAAAGTATTTTTTACATGCAAATGTCTTTCAAAAAAATAAACATTTTCTTAATTTAATAATAGCTTAACTTTATATATATACAGTCAGGGACAAAAATAAGTGGGCAGGTACTAGAAATAGATATTAATGAAGTTTAATTAAATTAACATGACTGTTATATTCTTAAGTTTATTTATTATATATTCTTGTAGGATATACATTATTCAATAATTAATTGAATTTCATATTTATATTTTTGTGTAAACAAGCTATACTATTTGTCAAGAGATAAAAATAAGTAGACACATAATACAATACGTAATAAACTAGATAATAAAATTAATACTTGATATTGTCACCTTTTGAAAGTTTTGACTTGAATCCTATTAAGAATCTATGGAGTTTACTAGATGTGAAAGCGAAACAATAAGATGGATTTTATCAGAAGTTTACAATTAGTATTTAGAAATATTAATAAAGATTATATTGAAAATTTAATAAAAAGTGTTCGACGACATTTGGATCTAGTAATTAAAGCAAGAGACGTGAATACCAAGTATTAATTTTATTATCTATTTTATTTATTATGTATTATGCATCCACTTATTTTTGTCTCTTAACAAATAGTTAACATTTTTGTTATGTACGATTTATTTATACAAAAATGTAAATACGAATTTCAATTAGTTACAGAATAATGTATATACTATAAGAATACATAATAAATAAAACTTAAGTATATAACAATCATGTTAATTCGATCAAATTTCATCGTTATCTATTTTCAGTACTTATCTACTTATTTTTGTCTCTGACTGTATTTATGAATAATAGAAGTGATGTGTAAAAATTCCTTAAATTAATAAAAATAATAATCCTTTAAATTAATGAAAATAAATTCTAAGCAAGGACACATATATACATTGCTTTTTTGATACATAGCAAGTAAATATTATAATTAGCATAGTACTTTATAAAATTCATTAGAATATAAATATACATTATTATAATGAACAAACACATACAATCAAATTTACACTTATATCAATTAAAAATAGTAATTTATTATAAAATATTACCATGACATAAAAACAAAGTTAAAGCAATATTATTCAAGAACTATCTTTTTGCTATTTCTATTACTTCATAAATTTTTAAAAAGTGCCTGATTATTATTAAGAAACTAATAGATTTTTCATTTTACTCTAATATCTAATAAAACAAAATACAATATATATATATACAAAAAGTATCTACTGATAAAAAAGGTTGTGATATAAAAATAGTAATCAAAGAGAGAAATGTGTTGCAAGTGCAAAAATATATATTTTGTTATGTGTTCCTTAGAATTTGTTTATACTTATTAGAAAGAACTTATATAAATACGTACGAACTAATTAAAAGGAAATACAAAATAATGAGAAGTAAAACACAAAATATGCAATTCATTTTTATGCATGTCACATCATACTTTCATTCATGTTAATCAGTCATACAAGTATTAAAACTTTAATGATGTACTTAATCATTTGATACTACTTAAAAAGTAGATCAATATGAGGAAAAATTAAATTTCTTTTTTATAGAAGTACTTAGTTTTACTAAATTATATTTTATAGCATAACTTAGACGATGCAATGGAAAAAGACACTCATAAATATTGGTATTGATCGTATTGTAATAATTTGCTTGCTTTTAAGAATATTTACTTGTATATAATGCAAAAAATTAAATTCAATAATTTAAATTATCATTATGTGTAAAAGAGGTCTTTATATAATAACAGAATTGTAAATAATTGATTATCAACTGGTATATTAATAAAAAACGTACAGAGGGAGCATATTTTTAATCAGATAAATAGGTGTACTGTAACAGAGTGGCCTTAAATGTAAATCATTCCAAATATCATTTTTTACGTGAATATATTGAATATTATGGGATATCAATACACGCCTATTCGTGTATCTACTCTGTTTATTCTACAACATGTTGAAAGTGTTGAAGTTTTTGAATTTTAATTCCATTTTTATGAATGTTATTTATTATCTAATTGAGAGTTAGGTATGAGCTATAATGTATTGTATAATTAGTAGGCATAAAAATTATGAAACATGGCAAATTAAGAACTTATGCATATAAAATATCATGTGCTCTTCCATTATTTCCTCATTGATTAAAAAGTAATAGTGTGAATAATATCACATTCCACTTCTTTAGTACAATGGAGCACATAATTTCATCACTGCAAAAAAAATATTTTATACATTCGATGAAGCAATTTTTTTTTCTTGTTCAGATGTATAAATAAGTGAATTACAGAAATTATATTCAGTGCTTGTTATTCAATTGTTCTTTATTATATTTAAACTTTCACATTAAAATTATATTATTTAATATATAGTGAACATAAAAAGTACTTGTAGAACAGCTAATTTCATCTTATTACTTTTATAATTACAACATAATATAAAGTTTAAGTAAAATTAATTGCTATATAAATACTTTTTATGTTCACCATAAATTTTTGCCATGGATACTCATTCTACCACTGTAGTATTGAAGGTTTAACATATCATGTATCATATATTATACTCCAGAGAATATAACTTTTATTTACGTTAATAACATTTATAATCAGTGTAATTTGAATATAAGCCAGAATATCTTTTAAATAAAATCATGTGAAAATTTTGGTGGACGGATATAGTATATGTATAAAATTATCGTGTGTTTATGTACACAGTGTGTCTATAGATGCAATGAGTTATGTTCGATTTAACAAAGAGCAATAAAATAAAATCTTATTTCGTTAATATTATGGAAAAAGTAAATGAGAAGAAGGGATGTAGAAATCTCGTTGCTGAATTATTCTATAAATATACTGTATATGTCATTTAAAGCAAGCAGCTTTTGTACTTAATTAGAATATATATTAAAGATGTGAAAGAGTATATAACTTGAAATATAGTCAGTATTCTGATACCATATTACTTAATAGATATTAAGATTTTCATAAAACACCTTAGTCATTTGTTATTTGTCATAAAAGCCTTATCATCTCCAAATTATTTTTCATAACAGGAAAAAAAACTAATTTACAAAACGCATTAAATGATTATTACTAATTATAATAATGTAGTTATTTTTAATGACAGCTTATAATAAAATATTTTACTATATTTTATCAAATTTATTTGTCCTACTATTCAGCATCGTTTAAGCAGTGATTATGTTTTGGTTTTTTGATATAGTTACTATGGCGCACAAACAAACAATGTGACATTTCTAAGATTCTTATTTAATGAATCTTACATAATGAATCGGAATTAATCTTTCCAAAAAATAACTTTAAATAATTATAGTAGTCAATGGAGAAAAAGATAAAAGATCACAAATTTTAAATATTAATACATGATAAAGGTAATAGAAAATAATAGAGATGTCTTATGTAGAGCATGGACCTCGTGTTTTCTTTACCGGTAGACAGAATAATAATATGTCATTGGCTTATGGTGATTATATTGTACCAAAAAAGCGATTAGAGGGTCGTTTAAAAGTGTACGAATCTTGTTCAGATATTAGAGCTTGGAGTTCAAATCCTTTAGAGACCTCACAATATTTTCGTGAACTTGCAGAACATGCTACTCCGGTTTGTATTGACAATCAACATTAGCTATTATTTAAATACATCATCTTAAAGTTTGTTTATTTCTTATTTAATAATATTATGTAAATCATACATTCTATTATTAAATTTTAAATATTTGCTTATATTATAGTCTGGAAAAATAATACCATTTAATGTAGTTATTGAGAACATCATAGGTCTTACTTCGCAAGCCCAAAATGAACTCCAAATACTTCGTAAAGAATTACAAAAATATAAATCTCTTAAATTAACAAACGAACAAGAAACACATTTACGAACTTATGTATGTATATTATACAATATAAATATATATTTATTTTCATGCAACTATTTTATAAGAAAAATGCAATGCTTTACTGTGATATGTTTCTTTTTGAAGAATGACAAATTTATCACAAATTATCAAAAAGAAAAACAGAATAAGAATAAAACCATATTGAAAACGTCATTAAAGGAAAACTTTAAAATTGTCAATAAATCTATTTCCTTACCACATTTAAATTCATATTTATCTATCCAAATTAATTCTGAAAAAAATATACAATATAATGATAGATATTATCGAGGCTTGTCATTGTTCGATCACATAGATTCATTATCATGCAATGCTACATATTTATTGCCAAAGTTAAAATCAATTTATTTTACCTCAAAACATGATAATTTTAAAAGAAATAAACATTCAAATGCAGAAACAGATACTCTTACAAATTTAGAAGATAAATATACCCAAGTTGGTAAGTCAGTTAAAATAATAAATTGTATGTATATTTCATATAAATAATGATTGAATATATTAATAAGCATGTATAGAATATGCTGATATATCTGTGCAAGTGATATGGGATGTTAATGAGACAGAAACTCAGACTGATTGTCAAACAGAATATACAACATCTAGCGAAACTAAAATATCTTTGAACAGAGTATGTATGTGTGTATGTGTGCTTTACTTATATATTTATTTATAACAATATATAATTATTTTTTTTAATTAATTCAATAATTTTTAATTAATTAAATAATTATATTATATAGACTGAATCACAAATATCTACGTATAAATATGATTATAAAAATAATTATGGAATTAAGAAACGAAAAATAAATATTCCTATAGATAAATATATAAGAAAAGATTCCTCTATTGAATCTTATCATACTGAAAGTGAATCTGAATCTAGTAGTATTATCGAAAGTGAATTCGATGTTGAATTTTATGTAAAATCTCACAAAGAGATTATTATACAAAAGGATAGTGAAATAATTGCATTAAAAAATGAATTTGGTGTAAGTTAACATTACTATCATGTATTTTCAACATATTATTAAATTGTACTTTAAAGCTTATTCATTGTTTAGGCAAAAGAAGCAGAAGTTGAAGAATTAAAAGAAATTAATAAAAATTTAGGAATTATGTTAAAGAAGAAGGATGAAAACTTGAATACTTTACGAGGAGGACTTAAAGTAAAATTTAATTTTACTTTACTATTTATAAGAATGTTAATCTTTTTTGATTGATCTAATTATTTCACTTATAGATTTTACAAGAACATTTTATGAAGTTAAATGAACAGAGAAATAATGAAATGGACGATATGAGAAAGAAAGTAAGAATAGTTATAAATAATTATTAATTGCATTATAAAATTAATATTTATTGTTTAGTTATATACAAATACGCGTATAATGGAACGTTTGAAAATAGAGCTAAATAAAAAGTATGATGTTTCTTTTTTACAATCACAAGAAATTGAAAAATTACGATCACATGTTAAAGATACTGCCATTTTACTTGCTGAAAGAGATTCACTTATGGTAATTTATAATACTACATCCTGAATTGAAAAATTAAAAAATTTTAACGTTGTAATAATCACATCATCATTTAGGAAAAACTAAAAGAAACGGAACATCTTTCAAAAGAAGCAGAAAATTGTCGATTTGCTCTTGATCAATTAAAAGAAGTTTTACGTGAAAAAGATGAATTACAAAAGCAAAATCTTGAACAAAAATGTATACTTAGTGATCAAGAGGATGAAATAAAGCGTCTACTGATATTAATACAGCAAACGTCAAGTACTCATAATGATCAGGAAGTAAAGTTTCTTTCTCTGTTTTTTTAAATATATAAGACAATTACTTATATGTATATTTAAATGTTACAATAATCATAACGGAATAATTATTTATAAACAGAATAGAATGACCAATATATTAGAAGAGTTACAAACTGAAATAATAGAAAAAGATAATACAATTTCAAAATATGAAGAACAACTTCATTGTATGGAACAAGAAATTAATAATTTCACAATTAAGTTAAAAAATAGTTTGAATAATTTAGAAGAATTTAAAATCGCATATGAAGATAATCGTGTAAAATGTGAACACGATACTTGTGAACGAACCAAGCGTACATTATGCACCGTAATGGAGGAATTACAAAGATCTAAACTGGAACATAAAGAATCTTTACAACACATAAAAAATGTTAAGAAATACTCTGAAGAATCTATATGTAGTTCTCACTTGAATTATCACTTTATTTCATCTAATTCAAATTCAGAAGGTATATTATTAACAATACAAATAGATTGCTTCAAAACATTGAAAAATAGAAATAAAAATGTATCTTTTATTTTGATTTTAGTTGATGAATCAAATATAATGATGTTCAAAAAAACACAGACATCACAAAAAGATCTATTTGCAAATATACAACTTAATTGTGCAGAAACTGAAACTATTAATAATGCGATAATGTATGAATACATTGATTTTGAAAATCATTCGAATAAAGATACTTCTGAACCAGACTCATGGAATTCAGCAAAAGTAATTTACTTACTTATAATTATAATATATTAATTATACCAAAAATATTAAAGATTATAACTCTATATATCCTGAACTATATATCCTAATATATCCTGAATAATATTAAATTATAGACTGAAGTATCAATATTAACTACCAATAATAATGTAAATATTGAAAATACAATAATTGAAGAAGTATCAAGATCACTTATAAAAATGCAATCTCTTATGGAGCAATTACAGATATATACTGAAAATGAACGGCCATCTTTAATTAAACAAATTCATATCCTTTATAAATATTTAATGGAAAATAAATCAGTAATCGTGTGGTCACCAGGTATATTTCTTTTATCTTTTAACTCAATACTTTTATAACTTATATGACTATAACTTCATAGATAAGAACATTAAAAGGCAACAAATTTATGAATTATATAATAAATACAAACAAAATTATGAAAAACATAAGCCGTTTATAATATCTTCAAATAAAGAGTTCCAAAAAACTTTGATTAATGAGGAATTGTTAAATCTACATGATGAGTACATTGATAAAATTTTTACAACTCAATTTAAACGTTCCATTATAAAAATGAATGAGTTATCTACAGCTCTTCAAGGTAAAATATATTTACTTGAAGAAAATAATATTTGATATATTATATATTCTTAATCAATTATGAAGGTTTTGGAGATGAACATACACAAATAGTAAAAGAAGTAGTAGAAAAACAACAAAAGATTTTAGAAAAAGATACCGAAATTTCTCGATTAAAAGAAAAGGTTCGAATGGGTGAAGGTGATTGTGTAAGACCAGAAAAATCAGAATGGGATATAATTAAAGAAAATTTCAGAGTACTTGATATTGAACTGAATCAAAAAAATCAACTGATAAAAGAATTACAAGATACGCTTACATCAAAAAATGTAAAATTATCGGCGTATATTACAGAATGTGATGAGTTAAAATTTAAAAACAAAAATCTTATTGATAATAAAAATTCATTACTGAAGGAATGTAGTATAAGAAGTGACGAATTGAAAGAAAAATGTGAAGAGATAAATCAATTAGTAAAGCAATTACAAAATTTAAATGAAAGTATAATGATTACAAATAACATGGAGAGAGAAATTGAACAATTAAAAATAAAGTTATTACTAAATATTTTGATTATTTCTTTTTTTCTTTATCTTATATATACATTTAATTGTTTTTTTATAGGTTGAACTTATTACAGGAAGAAAATATTGAACTACGCAAGAAACTTACAGATACAAATGAAATCATTTGGAAGAATAATGAATTAATAAGAGACTTGAAAGATAAACAGGAGAATGATGAACATAATTTTGCATCTAAAGTTCTTTGTTACGATACACTGTTGGCAGAAAGACAAAATATAATTAATAATTTAGAAAATACAAACTTATCCATAAACGAAAAATTAAAAGATGCAGAAAAGAAAATTTTATCACTGAATAAAACAATCATAGAATTAAATAAACATAATAACGAAATGAAGATGTTAGACATTCTCCACGATGATGTTTCGATAGTTGAAAATAATATAACAAAATTAGAAACCAAATCTTCGAAATATAAATTAGAACTATTAAACTATGAAAATATTAATAAAGAAAATGAACTGAGATTAGCTGCTTTTACAAATGAAAATAAAGTTATACAAAAACATATTGAAATTTTAAAAGAAAAATTATCAGTAAATTTAACACAAGAAATTATTATTGATGACGAACTGAAACACAAATTGCACAATCTACCAAATGAATTATATAACCAAATTATGAATCTTAAAAAAAAAGTAAATATATATGATGATGCACATACACACATCAAATCTGATTTACAACAAAATGTGGATAAAGATTTTAAAGGTCAGTATTTCTTCTTTTATTAAATTTTATCTATTTCAATAATTATTAATTATATATTTTTATAATATATATAATAATTGAGAAATATTAATCAAAATAAATAGAAAGAGAAAATACAATAGAAGATCTTTATAAAATACAGAATTTAATTCATGAAGTTGAAAAAAAAGATTTTGAAATAGAAAATTTTAAGAACCGTGTAAACGATTTATCTCAAGAAAATAGTGATCTTTATAAAAAACTTAAGGTTTGTTACTTATATTTTATATCATTAAATATATATATGATATTAATAAAATATAATATATATTAATTCATTTTTTGTTCATTTATATCAAATACAGTTTCATAAAGAAGAATATGAAGATAAATTAACAATATTAAAAAAGAAATACGATAGCAGTATAAGTGCACTTCATAAGAAACATAAAGAAAATATAGAACATTTAAAAATAAATTTTGAAGAAATTAATGGCGAAAAAATTATTTTTGATTCTGAGAGTTGGTTACAAGTATAATTCAATAATAAATATTTTTGTATATATGCATATACGAAATGAAGCATTTAAATGAGTACATTTAAATATACTTCCCACGGCAAATTTATATATAAATTAATCTATAAAAAATTGATTACAAATTTTCTTATTCATTAACAAACAGTAAAGATTCTCCAATATTAAATGCCTCACATTGTATAGATATTTATAGTACCATAATTTTTTTATTTTTTATTCTGTAAATAATATAAAAAAATATATATGATAATTGTAGTCATTAAGTATTAAAGAATTAACAAATGTTCACAATCGAATATACTCATTGATGAATAAATTGGACCTAAATAATGATCACATCAATCAAAAAACAATACTAAATGTTATTGATAAAGAAGATATATGCGAAACATTAGAGAAATTAACGAATATATACAACGATAAAAAAAGTATACTTGAACATTCTATGTTTGAAAAAAATATTAGCAAATGATCTTTTATACATAATTAAATTTGTTATCTAATATAGAAGATCCATCAATGGAAACGCAACATAAATCGATAAAATTACAAGAAGAAAAAACACAAATTCTAGAAACGCACAATTTAAAGCTAAAAGATTATAATTCTTCTAAGGTATTACTTAATCTACAAAAACATCCCTTAAATAATATGGATAAAAATGAAATTAAAGAAAAAAATATCTTTCATAATATTGCTTGGGAAAGAACTATGTTCTTTGACCCAACTTCTCATAAAAAGAAATACAAATATAACTTAAATCCAAGGTATGCTTTGTATTTATAAATCATAATACTTTATGTAATAATGCATGCTTATTAAGTGTTTAACATAATTATCACTGCATATAAATATGTATATGTGTGTGTATGTATATGTATATTTATATTTTAGGTTGCAAGATAATAATAAAAAATATGCAAATAGAGATACAACATCGATATCTACCAAATCAACAAAAAAAAATACTGCAAGTTAAAATAATTTATATAGTAATTAATTTATAGTTTTTAATGTGCAAGTTTATATTGTTTGTATATTTTAGATTGATTGGCAAAGAAAAAACTTCATTTATCAATGTAGTGTACATCATAAAAAAAGTAATATTTGTTGAAAAAAAGTATGAAAACCATATTTAAAGAATATATACATTACTTTGATTACCTCAACAAAATATATGTAATAGACCATATTGATTACTATAATTTAATTGTCGACAAAAGTATAACAAGAGTGGTTATAAAAACTTTTTGAAATGCATTTAATTCTTATAACTTTTTAGAAGATATTTTACTTGTTCTGTTATTGTTTGTATGAGCAAGATTATAATAATTGTAATTCCATTGAAAAAACATTTTTTTTGATGATAAAATAATTATTTAATGGTTTTAATAAATATTTTATGAAAGAAATTAATTTTGTATAATTTCTGTATATTAAATAAATTTATAATTATAAATATTAAAAATAATTTCTATAAGTTCATCAATATTAATAGGGTATTAATGAAAGTCGAAAAAGATTGGTTATAATAATGTGTTTAAAACATAACGAATTGTATTGTGAACAATTATTTATAATTTTACAATAAATATCTACGATAGAACCATCATAGTATTGTACAAAATCTGTAATATATAGATGCTGCACATGAATCGTTTAGTAAATGATTTACTAAACATTTATGTTTTGTGTATATTATTGTGTATCTAAACACAGTTATTAATCCAACTACAGAGGTTGTCGCGACTAAACAAATGCTCCTTTATAGATAAACATTTATATACGTTGTATCTTGTAAATACAACATAGTATGTAAAATCAACATTGTTGATAGAAATATTTTCGCTATGCAACTTTATGTAATAATACAAAATTTAGCGAGTATAAAAAATATAAACATTTACTCTTATAAGCATAATAATTAAAATGAATATTATATGAAAAGCTTTTAACTTGATATATTTATTTGTACTTTACTATTTCTAGGATATAGTATACATTTTTTTTTTTAGAAAATATATAGATGCGACATATGCAACGTTTGTTGCTAAAAAAAGATTCTATGTCATAACATGATATAATGATGTATAATGATACAAAACTAACGTAGTCAAATAAAAAATTATAATTCAACTATAAATTCATAAAATAAAAATAGATAGCTAAAATGAAAATATAACAGTATTATAAAATTGTATGTACTTGACAAAAAATTAAGTGTATACATGTATTCTATATATACAGATGTCATTGCATTACGATGATATTGATAGTAATAGTCTATTTTTATAAATACATCAAACGAATTTTTTTTTTTCCCTAAGAAAAAAATCAAAATTTAAAAATTTTTTTCCAACATAATTCTCGTATGTAATATAGGTCCTATAGATATAAATGATGTGTAATAAGTGTGTAATATAAATATATCTTCTGAACACAAAATAAATTCATTTTTACATTCTGCGAAATATACATTAATAATATTATATTAAATTTGATCACTATAATTCAGAAATCTTATTATTTTTTTAAGCTGTAATAGTAGCAGTGTTTTTGCCAATATCATAACTATAATAATTATAGAAATGATTTCATTCAGCATCAATTTTTATATTTCGTTACGATATTATTTTTAAATAATGAAAGAAAAGCAAGATATTATAATATAATAGATTTGGGTATATGTATTTACAAATCTAAATAAAAGATCAAACGTGTTAAGATAAAAAGTAGTGTTTAATAATTTGCATACGAGTATGAAATGTCTCTTCAAGTCGATAAAATATGTATTTATTATTTAGTAAAAATTAAACATTTTTCTTTTTCTTACCAAGAGTTCTATTGTGACAAAAGAATTGACTTGTAAATATCCGTGCAATTGTGACCATTGCTTTTGTGCCACATAATGGATGTATCTCATGAGTACCAAATAATCTTGCTAAAAACGCAAAAGAAATTTTTGTTTTATACCTTTAACCAGAATATATGATTGAAAATATTTTCAACTTACCACACAACCATTATTTTAAGAGCATTCCTGCAAGTTTTCTGTTATTCCCTATATATAATAATTAGGGAAGAAAAAATATATACATATATATATGTATACTAATAATAAGAATTCAAATATTGTATATATCCTTGCTGAGACTATAAATTAGCAATATGGATGCAATTGAAATGAACGTTAAGAAAAATATCAGAATTCGATATTAATATTTATGAATAGTTATTTTAATGACGTTCTCCCAAGTTAGTTTTTATCACATAGAAAATATGATCCAATCGAATCGAATCGAATAATCTATGATCGTTGAATTTAAAAAAAAAAACACGAGAACTATATTTAATTATATATGTAATGAAAATATTATTTCTTTACCTAAGGCAAACTGAAAAGATTTATTTCCTTCACGGACTTTTACTTTCTTCAATGGTTCGTTCGAAAATAAGGATCTTTTACTTTGTGAGATATTTATGTTACTTCGTTATAAAAAGTCACATGTTTTCCTGTAAAATAAAGAACTTGCTTAATTGAAACATCGCGTTCATTGAAGGAGACTCACACTTTGGATCACCCATCAATATATACATACATATATACATATATAGATATAATGTATATATAATATATATATGTATATATATATCTTCGAAAACAAAAACGTTTTACAATACGAAACAAAAAGATTTGTAAATGTTTTTTTGTCCAAATCATTATATTCGCTCATATTCTTATAGTTCTAGCTATAGTACATAAAACAAACACTAAAAATCATTCAATTCGAGTAATCCTATTTAATGTAATTTGTATATATAGTAAATTATTGTATTTAAATGTACGCTTACGCCTAGCTGCATACAGTTTTCTTCATTTTTTTTAATAATATATAATATAATAATATACTATGTCGCATATAAAAAACAATTACTTAGTATAGAGTACAAGATCGTTCCTTAGTTAAGTTTTTGTTTTTCTCATAATTATTTATATATAAACGTAAGACCTCGTCCGTCTCTGAAATGAACGTGTTCCCTCGTTCCCCGAAAACTGTAAAAAAAATACGATTGGTGGATCAAAATGGTTCAAGAAGAACGCATTTTCTACTTGAAGCAGCAATGAAGAACGTCTATTAAAGATTTCTGATTTCTATTTGGGCATCAATGAGAATCATTGTCGAAGTAACGAAAGGTAGTATAGAAAAGGTAGTAATATACTTTTCGTTTACTTAAATGTCGTAGACATATCTCTGAAAATTTCCAACGTAAGACGATTCTAATTTGAGTTGTGTGTGTATTCTTTTTTCTTTTTCTTTCTTTTTTTTCCCCTTTTTTCAGACAGTTTTTCTAGACATTATTATATATAATTTAATGACAATTTTCCAAGTAGAATCAACAATGTATCGATCGCATATATATCGGCTATCAAATCTCACAACGCACCAAGGATCAGAGAGCGTTTTTCATTTTTCTATAAAGAGAGAAAGTGATCCCGGCTTTTGACTTACTCTGAAAAGTAAACTTGTGGTCGATAAAGTGCTGTAAGAAACTACCATTACTTTTTGCAAGCGTAATTTAACGAATTAATTTACGAATTGTATATATCTATATCGTAGAAGAAATTTGACGCAAAGTTGCTTATTCCTGTACACTCTTTTTTATTTTTTGATAATCCTATTGCACTAATGTCAGGAATATACAACTTGCCAGAAATATATGAATATGGAATGAGGATAGAAGAAATATATATCGGATCTTACAAAAAAAATAAAGATTAAAAAGAAATGACATAAAATAATAATAATAATAATAATAATAATAATAATAATAATAATAATATAATAATAATAATAATAATAATAATAATAATAATAATAATAATAATAATAATAATAATAATAACAGTAGTGTGTAATGTAAATCTACCAGCCTTACTTGACAACCATTTGGAAACGAGGGAACACACACCGATCTGCCGCTTTTCTGCTCTTATCTTAGCGGATTCCAAAGTGACCGTCCCCCTTTCCCCCAATTTAAGCTAAAAATGTGAAGTGTCATTTTGGTTGGCAGGTTTGAAGGTTCACCTTGTGTCGTGTCTGTGGTGTGAGATCGCGCCGAGTCACCGACAACAAATGCGGTTGCTCTAGCTAAAGAGGCACGCGACATCGCGATGTTGCTGCGTCAACAATATAATCTGCTCCACGTTCCGTCTTCGCATCCTAAAATTATTTTTTTCAATTAATAATAAATATTAATAATTTTTCATATCAGCAATGTTTATCGAATATATTTTATTAAAAATTTCAAGTGATACAAATCTCAACATAATAAATATATACACACACACACATCTTTTTCCAATGTCAATCATATATATATATATATATATATATATATATATATATATATATAAAAAGAAAAAAAAACTCACCATACGCGAGCTGGTAGAAGAGGGGGACGTGGCAGCAGAGGGAGGCACCGTCAATATTGAATGATATTATCTACAACCGCGAAACCGCACGCGCCGAGACCAGCAGTTGACATTAAGCGGACTAACTCTCTTGCATGAGATGCTGCTACTTCTAGAGGCGGCCGACGAGGTAGATTGCTAGATTCTGAAATGAAAACTTTAGCATAGAAATCGCGCGAAGGAATATCAAAATTAAATATATAGTAAACCTAATCTATTTCTTTTTCTTTTTTTTTTTGTTTTAAACAAAGACTATAAAAATATTATTGGTGGTTTATCGAATAAGATTTAATCTAGATTTTATTCTTCTAATTATTGATGAATCTCTTCTGATGTATCATTACCAAGTATAGCAGAATTCAACCTCGCGCAAACGGTTTCTCGTTGCTGGGGATCCAATTGCCAACCAACAGGCGAGTTCCATGGATTTGCATATGCTAAGAGACTGAAAGCATCTTGTAACATTTTTTTGTTTCCTTCATTCTTGCCATGTTGTTGCCTCAAATGTATCGATTGCGAATAGAGTTGTCTACCAAACTCCAACATTTTTTCAATAGCTTGTTTATTACCGCCGCATAATTGCTTTTTATTTTTATTCACACAACGTCATTGTTAATGCTGCAATTGCCGTTTTGTTGCTGATTCTGATTGGCACCATCGATCTCTGTGAACAGAGACATAATATCTTAATGTTCTTGAAAGTTTCACAACAAAGTATAGGAAAAGTATCATATGAAGCTACGCTCACCCAACAAAAGATTTCAGAACCTTGAGGATATATT